TCCAGCCGTTGGACCCCAGGTGGCTCCAAAAATCGCCGCCTGGGGACAAACCGGCGCTAAAATCGGCCTGGGGGCGATCGGGTTCCCAGCCGATGCCCCCAGGGTCGGCCCTAGGCTTCTGTTTTAAACTTTTTTGAACATTAATTCGACTAAAATTCGGTGAACGGGACAAAATATTCTGCGAAACAGTATACTTCGGCGAACTGAAATAGTTTTTACATAGATAAAATACTTAGAAAAAAAATACACAAGAGGCCGCGACTACATGCCGAATAACGCGCTGAGAGAGGCGAAGTCGCCGCCGTTGTCCTCGTCGTGCTTCTCCTCCTTCACGCGGCCGCCCCCGCTGGACCCCTGCCCAGGGTCGCCCTGGCGGACCGGTGACGCCGCGTTGTCATCGCTATCGTCGTTGAGGACGATGACGCCTCCCTCGTCGCGGCCACGACGCCGAGCGGCGAACTACTCTAGGGCGAGGCGCTGGCGCTCCAGCTCCATCCGTGCCCAGTCTTCGCGCGCCCACTTCAATGCCGCCGCGTCGTCAAGCTCCGTCTTCACGGCGGCGAGACCCAGCTCCGTCTTTGGCTTGACGACGCGGGGAGTAGCCGAGGAGGAGGCGCATCCGCCCTCGTTGATGACGATACCGGCGCTGCGGGTGCGCCGGCCAAGGGGGCGTCGCCGCGGGCTCGGGCTCGGCCTTGATGCTGAACAGCGCCGTCGACCCGGAGGAGTGGGAGGAGGAGCGCGAGGAGGAAGAAGAGGAACCGGCCCTCCTCAGCATCCATTGGACGCCGCTCCGGCGGGGGACCGGGGTGGCAGGGTATGTCAACGACGACTCGTTACCACCCACGAGGTGCTGGAGGACGACGTGGAGCGTGCAGCCGGGGGCGCCCCACCACAGGTGGCGGCCATCACTGTTCTTGGTCCCCCGCACCACCGGCGCGTTGTTGATGGAGGCCAGCCATTGCGCCTGCCGGCGCTGGAAGTACGCCGCCCACGCCTCGTGGTTGCTGGTGGTGTACTGCGGGAGGGCCCGTACGCGGTCGACCTCGTCGACGAAGTAGTCGGCGCGCGCGGTGACGTCGGGCAGCTGGGGGATGGGGACGCCATTGGCGCTGAGCTTGCACCGCCCGGACGCGCGCATGTTGGGAGGCGCTGGGACGTTGGCCTCGAACAGCAAGTGGGCTTCCCACTCGTGCAACAAGCGGTGGCCGAAGCCATTGGCTGCCGCACCATCGCTGGGGAACCTCTCGCCCATCGTCACGGCTAGGCCCGAGGAAAGATGGGAGGAACGTCGGCGGCGGCTGCGCATAGGGAGAGGGAGGAAGAGCTCGGCGGCTGTGGGCGGGGTGCGGCCACAGGCGAGGGGAGGCGCTGCTTTAT